GACGCTCCTAGAGCTGCCGCTGCCTGTGAGCCCTTAACGTGTGACTCAGATATTAAACTTCTTAACCCACTGTCAGCGGGACTGGTGATTGTTTTGCTGGTTGAGCAGGTGGGAGCAGCCCAGGGTGGTGGGTCTTCAGCCCCCAGGACCGTGTGCAGTGGGCATAAGTGACCCTGGGTGCCCGCCTAGCAGAGGGGCCGCACCAGCACGCTGCCCCTGCCACTCAGGACGCGAGCGAAGGGCCATTCCCAGGCCGCGCCAGTGCCCCAGGCCCTGGGGGAGGGGGACGGGGATGGGGATGGGGAGAGGAAGACACAGTCAGCTCTGAACTCTTTATTAATCAGCGTGAGCCGGCATTCGCATCCAGTAAAGCAGGGGCAGCAGCTTACACAGCAAATACAGGGAAGGCGGTGAGTCGGGGACCAGCCTGAAAAGCACCCGCAGGGGTGTCGGGGACCCCCGTGACCTGGGTGCCTCATGCCAAGCACAGGTCTGCGTGGATCCACGAGGGGCAGGGGCACACGGCTGCCTGTTGATGGAGATGGCGACTCGGCATCTGAGGCTGTAGACACCGTGCCGGGTGCAGGGGTCGGGCTGAGCCACGCCAACCGCCTGCTGCCCTGCGCCCTCGCCCCTGGCGGCCGTGCTCTGGGGAGGAGAGAGGGCGGCCGTGGGAACGTGAAGTGAACAGCGTGGGCAGCCTTTCAGCAGGGCGGCCCAGTGTGAGGTGCTGCAGGAGTGCGGCCGCAGAGCCGTTCCCCGCGTGCGCAGCGCGTGTCCAGTGACAGGGGACTGCGGCCCTGCCCTCCGTGGAGCTCAGGAAAGGGAACCTCAAGGTAACACAGCACCGAGCCAGCAACACATCTGTGTCTTTGTAGCTGATCTATTACCTGTGTCTGTTCAACGACAGTTACCTCTCGTCTATTTCTTGGCTGGGAAGTCTACCCGCCCTCAGTAATTAATTCATAGAAAAGACCACTGTCCTCACTGTCGGTGTCATGAAGGAATAGGCCACAGTCACTGCGTCTGACGCCAACCTTCCTAGGAAATTGCTCTTGTGCCCGTTCATGTCATACGAATGTCATCTTGTGCTGTTACGTCAGTATTCTGTTTTATTTCTAGTATATTTTTCATAAGCTAAGGACAACTTTTTCTCTGAAAAGTTAGATGTTTTCTTATTAATTCTGTGTCATATTTACAGCTGAGGGAAAACTGTTTTAACTGAAGTGTAAATGGTTAACAATGGCAAATGATACAGTCCGCTTAGAGTTTACAAAAAATAGATACCAAAGACATCGACCAACCAGACGAGCACTGGGGGAGTCCTTGGGAGCAGACCTCGGGCGTCGCCTGCATCCTCTGCTCAGGTTGTTAAAAGGCCGATCGGAGTGGACTCGGTCGGGGACGGGGACCCAGCGCACACGGGCGTGCTCTCAGGCGGCACACGTGGCGGCGTTAGGAGTGGCTGGTGCGGACACGTCGGCGGAAGCCTTACTCTAAATCCTTCACTCGCTGGCAGATTTCTTCTGTGAAGTCTGAGCACTTCGCGTTGCCCCCCAAGTCCTTTGTCAGGCTCTGAGGACGGAGAAAAGCAAATTAAAAACGCATCGCACAGAGCCAGAGCAAGGAGCGTTCTGCTAAAGGCGCCGGTGAGAGTCCAGCCGAGCGAGTCCTGGCGGCTCCCCC